CTTTTTGTGCATATCAGTTTTAATTGTTGGCCTTTTAATCACTTCTTGGTCTTGTGAGGCCAGATACACGTGGGCTGTGTGGAAATTCTGGCCCAGGACTTAGTCTTACCAGCAAAATGTGCCCCCTGCAGTTCTATTGTCCTGACCAGTCTCCACTGAGTGGGCCTGTGCCATTGGAGGGCAGATCAGCTAGCTACACTGTGCCTCAATGTTCCCCCTGGGGGCCAACCTCCTCCTGCACTCCAAACGCTTTCCGTGGGGTGGGCCATGGGCAGGTCCCTTGCGATGACTCGCTGGCCTCTGGGAGGCTCCTGTCTTCATTGGCTGGACCCTTTGCTCTTAAGCAGCTCCACAGGAACCCTGTCTCTTCTCTCACTGGCCTGGGAGCTGGTGTGGTGCTCTCCAAGGCCCTCTTCTCACCTGCAGACTCCCAGCAACTTCACACAAAGGACTCAGCTGTGGCGTTTGCCAGCTCCTACTCTGGGTGCTCACTGGATGGATCCTGAAGAGCTGCTCCTTCCTCTTCTTGCTGTAGCTTCTGTCTTCACAAACTCCATCGGTCTCTCCTCCTCTTCCACCAAGGTCCAGGGGTCCCAGGTTGGCAGTCTTTGCTTTTTAATGGTTGTAAATTTGATTCATTTACAGCTCGTTAAGGTGCACATTGTGAGAATAACATTACCCTTTCCTAATCTTTACCTTTTTCCAGAGGGCTGGTCCATTGTCTCAACATCACGTATTAAATCCATTCTTTCCCAATGATGTGAGATGCTGTCTTTGTCATGTACTAAATTGCAATGTGTTTGGGACTATTTCTGGACTTTTATTCTGTCCTATTTGTCTGTTTATTCATATCCTACACTGTTTTAATTATTCAGGCTTTAATTATATTTTAATATCTGGTAGAACTAGTTCTTCTCTTTGCTTTTCTATTTCAGAAATTTCCTTGCCATGCATGCATGTTTATTTTTCCATGAATTTAGGATTGGTTGGTCTAGTCTCAGAAGAAAAACAAAACCTATGGATATTTTTGTGTTGGGGTGCCATTAGACTGATATATTAACTTAAGTAGAGTTAACTCATTATGATGCTAAGTTTCTAACCAAAACCATGTTATTTCTTTCCATTTGTTTGAATCTTTTTTGATCCTCGAGACTGTTCCCCAGCCCTTTCTTAACACAAAAGATAAAGATATAAACACGCACACAGGTTCCATTATATCTTTCAACATATTGCTTTTGGGATATAAGAAGTCCATTGATTTCTTTGCAATATTTTTTATCTTGTTCCCCACTACATTCTGTTTTTGTTTGCAGTAGGGTATCAACAGATTCTCTTGGATATTTCAGGTATGTAATCATGTGATGTGCATATAATCAGACTTCCACTTCCTCTGACTAATTGCTCTGGCTAATCCTTCTCAGACAATCCAAGATACTAGCGGTAACAGTGGGCATCCCTGTCTTAATATTGACTTTAGTAGGCCCATCTCCAGGGTTTCTCTGTTAAGTGGAAAGCTGGTTTATGGGAGTGAGAGACAAAAATTGTATTTTATCATGTTAAGGAAGAATCCACTGATTCCCATTTTACTGCATATTTTAAAAATCAAGCATAAGTGTTAAATTTGTTAAATGCCTTTTCAATATTGAAAGTCACTGAATCATATTTGCCTTCCCTGAATAAATCATTTCAATTTGCGGACCCTACTTTAAAATAGTGAGATTGATATTCTCATTAGAGAGGTACCCAGGACATTTTGAATAACGTCCTTGGCAAAGAAATGTGTATGGTCCCTTAAGGACAACAATTACTGTGGATACATACATATTCACCAGTCTCAGTTCATTTTATCTTCCCTATGTTTATTTAATGTGATATTTATGAAATTCCTTCTGGGTACTAGACCCTAGATTTTGGGCAAGTAAAGATAGGACTATAAAGCTACCAGAACATCAGTAAAGGTGAGATATGAAGAGTGGAGTGAGAGAACAGTTGATGGAAAGAGAAGAAGAATACTAGGTCAGGAGAAAAAGAGAGTAAACAGAAGTAGCATCTCCTGCAGGAGTCAGTGGCAGATGGGTCAAATTTTCTCTCTTCCCCACCCTTCCCCAGGTCCTTGTTCCCGTTATTGGCCTAGCTTAGTGGTCCCCAAGCCCTACCCAGGGCCCATTTTATTACTTTTCTCCCAAACTACCCACTGCTTTTAAAGGTTTACTGTGCTTGGCTGTACCAAAGTAACCGTACTTAAGTCATAATTAATTATCTTGCCTTTTTAACAAAGTCATTTACAGCTGCCAACCAGCTTCTGGTCAGAATGTACTAATCAGAGTTACCATGCTGAGTTGATGTACCGTCAGCCAAAAGCACAGAAACTTGAGGTGTCAGCTTGAAGAGGCTCATCTTGGATAGAGGAACCATTCTGGAAAGCAATTTGAAATCCTAACATATGTCGTATAGAGCTCATTTCCTTGTTCCTAGATCTCAAAGGACATAGGACCTCAGATCTCACTGTCACTCAAGATATGGTGCTGTATAAAAAGGCTGGGGAAGATGTAGACTTCAGCCATAAGAAGTGCGCACACCTATCTCCACAATATATGGTAGATTGTTCTCTTAACAACCTCTGTACTAGAGGTGCCCAATGATGTGGTTTTTTAAATTGTTTTCTTATGTGACTAATTCTCTGAGAAAAGCAGATAGTAAAGATGAGAAAATTTTCAAAGATGAATGGTGAAAATATTGCTAGAATAAAATAAAAGGCTTTTCAGTAATAAAATTCGCTCCTCTGCCTGAAGTCAAGGCCTTGATGGGGACACAGTGAGAGTGTGATGCTTAACACACCTGACTGTCATTAGGTCACGCCAAGGTTCTTTCTGCTGGTGAGTGAGCACCCCACCCCTAAGCCCCACCCCAAACCAATTAATTCAGAATCTCTGGGGGTGGGATTCAGGCATCAGCAATTTTCAAAGCTCTCCAGATGATTCCAGTGTGCAACCAGTGCTCTAGAACCTTGCTACTCAAAGTGTGGTATTCAGACCAGTAGCACTGGTATCAGTGGGAGCTTGTTGGAAATGCAGGATCTTAGGCTCTACCTTAGATCTCCTGAATCAGAATCTGCATTTTAACAAGATCCCCAAGATATTCATTTGCACAATAAAGTTAGAGACGCAGTGTTCTAGAGTAGTGTTTCTTAAAGTGTGGGTTTGGGATGGGAGGGTGGGAGAATGGGGGTCAGGGGACTTAAAGCAGATTCTGGAGATGATGATTCTGTAGGTCTGAGGCTGATGCTCTGGAATCTGGATTTTTAAAGGTGCTTCCAGGTGATTCCTTAGCCTACTGTTTGAGAACTACTCCCAAGAGGAGCCTGTGGTATGACGGTTGCCTTCACCTGGCCTCATGGAAATTCCCTCAGTGACTCTAAAAGGTCAAAACATACCCATTGCAGGTGGGGAATGAGTTGGTGATAGTCTACAAATGGTTCCTGACAAACGTCACGTTTCTGCTCTCTGACCTGTAGCAGAGCTGGTGGTGGCACTCCTAGGTCACCTAGAGTTAAATCTAGGTTTCAGACTGACACAGAAATGAGTCTCTGCATTCAACTTGTTAGTGACCGAACAGGTTGCAATTTGGATACAAAAACCTCAACCTTAAAAGCAGGATTAAAAATATAAAATGCTGATGCTCAGATGCATCCCTCTTTGAGGGTTTTAAGAACCCCTTAAATCGCAGAGTAGAGAGCCAAGAAAGCAAGAGCAAATTCCCCTATGGAGATGTCTTCATTTCACAGAGGTTTTTCAGCCCAGACTTTTAAATAATAACAGTGGTCATTTAGGCCCAGATTTTTAAATACTAACATGGATAAAAAATGAAGCCAGGAATGGAAAACTTGATCTCTCTCAAAAGATGTACTTTGAAGTGTGTAGTATTTCCATGTACCTTAAAAAGCATTTCAGCTCATGTAAGAGATTTAATAGCTTCTGTGATAACAGAAGTTTTAGGTGTATTTATCTTCAAATACCTCAGATTCCAAAGTATGGGTCACACTTGACTGGTGGTGACAGAACCGAAATCTTCCTAATTATAAAGTAAAATAAGCCCATAGCAATTGTAATGGATAATGGAATGCGGAACTGCAACGTGATCTAAATATATTTGTTAAATAACTATTGGGTTAAAATCAGCAAAAGCAAAGAAACTTAAGACTGGAAAAAAATACTTTTGAGGCTTTGCTTTAAAGACCTTCACAGCAGTGTTCCTTAAACCTGGGGGGGGGGGGGGGGGGGGGACATTGAAAATCTAATGAAAAACTATGGACCCTCCGCCAGATGCGCGTGCACACACGGGCGATTTTCCAGGGAGTTTCACAGACTCCCCGGAGACCACGTGGAGAGCAATTCGCTGGCCCCATATTAAGAACTTCAGTCTCGACTTTGCGTTTTAAGAAATATTGCTCTGTATTGATTTCTCCCATTTGGAACCGCTTGAGACCGAGGAGCAACTTTCTCAGCATCTAGGTCCCAGGTGGGCGGTAAAATTAGAGCTGACCGTCTTGGCTTAAACGGAGACCAGCAACCTCGTGCGGATGAGCCGAGGCAGATGAAAAGCCAGACCACCAGATTCTGCCAGGGGAAGAATCTCTTTATTGAAGAAGACTGCGTTCTTTCGGAAAAGCCGCCGCCATCCTCTCAGAGGGCCGCCACCACAGGCGAGTGGCACAGGCAGAGCCCCGAGGCCGCGGTGCCTCCGTTCGCACCGGGAGGCTAAAACTTTGGTCGAATGTTAGGAAGCAAAGCGGGCTTTTAAAAAGACGACCTATGCCCCTTATTTACGCTCCCCCCGTTAAACGGATGAGGGAACTGACCGCGAGGGTTAAGGTGCTTGGCAAGGTGACACCCTAGTCACGCTCATACCAACTCTAAACATTCCAGCGTTAAAAGGGCCTCTCTTGGCAGCCCCCGCCGCCCACCCCGCGGGGCGCCACGGGAAGCCGAGCCCCCGCCTACCGGCACGAGGGAGTAGGTCATCATCATCAGCATGTCCTGGCTCTCGGCGCGGATGTGCGGCGCGGGCTCCCCGCCGTGGCTGCGCTTGTTGCGCGCGGCGCTCGCGGGGTCCGGGGGTGGCGCGGGCGGCC